ACAGGGCAGCAGGAATAGCTGTGGGGTCAGTGTCTGTCCCTCCCTGCATTTGGGGCCCTCTGGCACTTGGCTTTAAGCTCCTAATGATGAGTTTACCTGTGGACAGTCAGAACCTTAAAGATCTTTGGTACCTCTGTTACCTGGGGCAGGGCAGAAACACAGAACCTGCAGTGAACAATTACAGACTTGAGCTGAAAGTCTCCCTCCTTCATTTTAAAACTGAGGGCTGGTTTTGAATGTACAGCAGGAAGTTGAGACATATTAGTGCTCAGGCACAAGCATCTCATTTTCTTCAAACAGAACAAGGCTCCCTGACTTCTGCTGCAAACACACAGGTCTAAAGGATTCCCAAATCTCCATGCTGATTATTCCCTTTTAGATGTGACCTTAAAGAACTTGGTACCTCACCCAGCTGTGTGAATACACCCCACAGCTGCTGCTGCTTCACAGGACCCTGGTGTCTTACAGCAACCTGCACTTGCTTCCCAGGGGAAACCTTCCATTGTTACCTATTCCCCAAAAATCAGCTTCTCCAAAAGATCTGAAGTTCTCAGGACTCAGGTTACTGATGTTCTACTTTTGCCCAAGATTGCTTGGACAAATACAGGAATTGCCTGTGTTAAACCAAAAGCAAATTCAGAAGTCAGAGCCCATAAGGGGGTCCAAGAATTGCTCTAAGGAAGCTCTCAGGTGGCCCTGGGCATTTTCACACACATCATCATCTACCCTGGACACCTCCACGTGTTTGGCACAAGATTTCTCACGGAATCACTGAGGTTGGAAAAATCCCCCAAGCCCATCGAGTCCCCCCTGTGCCCGATGCCCACCTTGTCCCCCAGCCCAGAGCACTGAGTGCCACGTCCTTGGACACCTCCAGGGGTGGGAACTCCACAGCCCCTTCCAGCACCTGACCACCCTTTCCAGCAAGAAATCCCTCCTGAAATTTCCTTTTGTGGAATCAGAGAATCATTAGGGTCGGAAAAGATCTTTAGAATCATCAAGCCTGTCAACCCAGCAGGGTGTTCACCACTAAACCACGGCCTCCAGCGCCACGTCCACGTGTTTTCTGAACACTTTTGGGATGGTGACTCCACCACTTCCCTATCCTTGGAAGATCCAGCAGTGCAGGAATGGACAGCAATCATCTGCCTTCGCATCACCTTAGGTACGGTGGAAGCTACTGGACTTTAAGCCACGAATTTATGTTATTCTGAAGTTTATCCTTGATTTTTATCTGTTCTACCTCCACTGTAAACTAAAACCCCCACATCCCAATGTCCCTCCGCGGGGTTTTTGCCATCGGGGGGCTCTCACGGTCACTTCAAAAGGCATCGCCCCTAATGAGCAGCTGCACTTCCACACCGGGAGCCCAGCGGGCACAATGGCCCTGCCGCCGAACCCGCCTCATTTACATCCCTTTGCGGGGCTTTCCACCGCCCTAATGGCTTTTCCCAAACAAAAGGAGCCGCGGCCAGCACGCATCTGACCTTCAAATTTGCTTCTGTGATTTTTTTATTTTTTTTTTATGGCTCAAAGTCTACTCGCCTGGTGGCTCTTTTATTTTTTTTTATTTTTTTTTCCCCCCCTCCCTCCCCTCCAGGACTGTTGTGATGAAAACCGGCACATTAATTAATTCCCAGGAAAACATGCGCAAAGGACCCATCCAGGAGAGTGGAGCTGCCTGGGAGCTGTAGTTCCCTCCACAGACACACCCTCAGCCCAGTTATTCCCATTCTCCCATTCACACAAAGCAAGACGAACAACACAATTTTGCTTCCTCGCTGTTTTCCAACTTTTGCGGCTACACTTGAGTCGCTTTGCTTATTTTCTCTTACATTTTAGATCCCTGTGAAGGTACAAAATTGAGGAAAACAACAAAGACACGTCTTTTCACTGCACCTGAAAAACACTGTCATGGCCCCTACTTGAAATCTTCTGATGTTCCCTGTGTAAAAGCCACGACACTTCCAAAGAAGACAGATTCTCCCAGTCTGCTCCCAGAGGCATTTTGGGAACTTCATCATATCTGTTCTACTATTTGCAAGTTGGGAGTTAAGAGCACACCAGAATTGTCATGGATAGATCAAGTCACAGCGGAATACACAGCCCTGCAAACCCAAAAACCACACGGAAAACCTACCAGGAAAAAAATGGAATTTGCATTCTCTGTACAAACAGCATCACCAGGGGTGTTCAATAATGAGGAGAAACGCAGTATGGCCTTTGAAATGAGAACATAAAATGTGCTTTTGTCTCTCACTAAAGCTATTTCCCCGTGCAGACTGATGGCAGCAGATGCAGGATCCCCTCCTCCTCCCCCAGCAATTGGTTCTGCTTCCCTGCCAGCCAGGGGAGGAAATCCATGGCATTCCCCCCCTCCCAGCTCTCAAACAAACAACCCACCCCCCCAGACACAAAAACCACACCACTCTCTATTAACAAGGAACCAATCACTTACCCCATGGCAGGAAAGTCTATCGTTAAAATTTATGTTTCTGGAGATGAGCCAAGAAAAGTGAAGGCAATTCCAGCCTGGAGAGCAGCCACAATCTTTAACACTTAAAAACTGGGTACTCCTTAAATTACTAATATATTAACTGTCCTTAAGAAAAAAAAAAACAACCAACAAACAACAACAAAAAAACAACCCACAAAAAAAAAAATCCCAACAGTCAAGTCCGGAATTTTCAGGTTCAGAGGAAAACGTTTATACATAATACTCTATTATTTAAGAAACCAGTTCTCGGGATGTGCATGAAAGGAGATGAGCCATCTGCTGTGTCTGTAAATCGGCCCCTAAATTATCAGAGAATATTTTAATTTAACCGTAGACTAAATAAATCATCACTATCTCAGGCCACAGGGGCACATATAAAACATGGAATTATCCTAAAAGCCATAAAGGCACACTTTTGTTCTGAACCCAGCCCACTACTATGGCTCAGACAACACGCTCCTCAGGGATTCCTCACTACAACCATCCTCTGCTGCCTCCCCTCACGTTTCAGCCGGAGTTGGGGTTTCTGTATCAGCACCATCAGTGCTGCTCCCCCTGTTCATGACACCTCCTGCAGCAGAACCAAAACCCAAAGCAAATCCCTCTCTCCTCCATCACAGCCCAGTGAGATCAGCTGGGCAAAAAAGGCAACCAGAGCATCCTTCAGGGTGGAAAGCAGAGCTGAAGTGCTGGGTGCTGCTCTCACCATAAACACTGCTGCTGCTTTGTTCTAGCTTTTTAATATTTTATTTGGTTTTTGTGTTCTCCATTTTATGCTGATTTAACAGTTCCAGCTGTGCAGCTCCCTAGGCACTCTGCATATTCATAATTATTATTATTGGATAAACATGTATTTGAGTGGGGCAACAGATGATACGCAGATAATTTTTCTTTTGCTTACTCCCATTTATTTCCCCGGGGAAAAAAAAAAAAAAAGCTTTATTCTCCCCTCCCACAGCCGAGAAAGCCTGTGTGGATGTGTCAGGGAGGCGAGGGCTGTGCAATCACAGATCATAGTCTGGCATCTCCGAGCGGGTGAGATCAGGAATGTGCAGGGATGGGGACGGGAGGGTGTGGCCGAGCCAGATGCAGAGCTGGATACGGGGAAGAACTGCTGGAAACGGGAACACAACCACCCCTTATTTGTCATACAGCCCCTCTAATAAGCAGCAATATGTTTTTCTTAAATTAAAGGGAAGCCCTGCAGCAGCACGGGAGGGCTGTGCCTCGCTAAGGATGGGTGTTGTGCTGACAGGTGGCTCGGGTCGGAGCACACCGGTGGCGATGGTCCAGCAGCACCGGGGCTGGGATGGAGCCACACGGCAGCGATCGCTGCTGCGAGAGGAGACGGAGCCACAGCAGAAGGGACCGCCGAGGGAGACGAAGAATCCTCGGCGTGGGGAGGGAGGAAGGGTGAGGACAGCGCGGAGGGAAGGGGCGAGGAGAAGCCGGGCAGCGAGGGCTGGGAATGAGCAGCGCTGGGGTAACACGGCAAGGGCACCCAAACAGGCACAGGGCACCCCGGGACCGCGGGCACCCCCGGCAGCGATGGGGGGCAGCTGCGAAACGAGCCGAGAGGGGCTGCGGGGCACAAACGCAATTTGGAGGTGGCGATGGCACAGACAAGCCGTGCGGGGGCTTCGGGCCAGGAGGGGTGCGGGGTGGGGCGGGGGAAGGGGCTGACGAGCCGCAGGACGGGACAGGGGGGGAAGCGCTCGCAGGGGCAGGAGCGGGCGCGGAAGGGCTGCGGGAACGCTCCCCGGTGGGGGCGGACAGCGCGGAGCTTGGGGACCGACAGACGGACCGACGGACGGACGGATGCCCCAGGGATGCATCCCGGCGGACGGACGCGCGCCGGGGCGGGGCCGGCGCAGGTGCGGCCGCTCCCACCCCACCTGCCGCTCCCGGGGCGGTACCGGCGGCTCCCGAGCGGCCACCGGCGGGGTCCCCCCCGCGCCCATCGGCCGCGGCCCCCCCGCCGCTCGCGCCCAGCTGCCGCTCCACAACGGCAGCGCCCGCGCCCCTCCTTTCTTTCTTTTTTTTCCTTTCCCCTTATTCCTTTCCCCCCCACACTCCCCATTATTCCAGCCGCTCGATCCCCCGCCCTTCCCGCATCCACCGCATCCCCTCCCTCGCCGCGCTCGCCCGGGCGGGAGGGGCGGGTTGGAGCATCCTCGACATCCACAATGAACCCGGCGCGACAACGACACAACGACACCACCGCCACCGCCGCCTCCTCCTCCTCCTCCTCCCGCTGCCGAGCGCCGCGCCACGAGCGGCCAAGGGCGCCCGCAGCATCCCCGCCGCCCCATTGTGCGCGCTCCCCCCGCACCCCGCGCCGGCGGCGCTCCCGGGGGAGCCGCGGTCCCGCTCGCAGCCCCCCTCCCGACACAGCCTCGAACGCCGCCCCCGGCCCCGCACACGGCGGGCGCGGGCAGAGCGCGGGGGGGAAAACGCCCCCGAGCCCCGTCCCATTGTTCGCCCCGCGCCGCCGCCCCGTTACCTGCGGCTCCCAGCAACGCCAAGGTCCAGGGCAGCGCGGCGAGCCGCAGCATCGCAGCGGGCGGAGGGGCGGGCGGCCGTTCCCCCCGCGCGGTCGGACGAGGCTGCGGTGGCGGTGCGCGGTGTCCCCGCCGGCCGTGTGTGTGTCCCCGCCGGCCGTGTGTCCGTGTGTCCGTCCGTCCGTCCGTCCGTCCGTCCGTCCCTCCCGCTCCGCTGCGCCCGGCGCGTCCCGGCGCCGCCGCGCTGACTGACAGCGCCCCGCGCGCGCCGCCGATCCCTGCGCCGCCCACTACCGAGGGAACGTGTCCTTCCGCCCGCACGAAATAGTGCGGGGAGGGGAGGGGAGAAGGGGAGGGCAGAGGGGCGCGGGGGACACACACCCCACCCCCGACAGGAGAGGGAGGGCTTGGGGGGGCATGGACGGGCTGCGGCGGCCGGAGGAGGAGAAACGCGGGGATCGCGGGGGCGTTTGCGCTCGATAATAAATAAATAAATAAATAAATAAATAAATAAATAAATAAATAAATAAATAAATGCAAATAACTATCGATAAATAAATAGAACGCTAATAATAATTATTATCGTCACCATCATCAGCATTATTAAATAACATGAACATCTTTATATAACATATAAGAGCACATATATAATATATGTATGGATATATACATATATATACTACATATACATATATATATAATATATGTATGGATATATACATATATATATAGTATATGTATGGATATAAAACATATATGTACTATATATACATATAGTATATTATATATATACATATATTATACAGATATATACATATATTATATATCTATATACATATCTATAATATATATATGGATATATAATATATATATGTATGTATATACATATATATGTATATATACATATGTATGTGTATATATATGTATATAATATATGTATGTACATATAACAGATATGTGCATAAAGTATGCAATGTCTAATACTATATATAATAATATTATTAAAATACATTAATAACATTATATATACTATAATATATATACTAATATATAACATTATATATAGCATATAATATATTAACATATGTTACATATCAATAGTATATAGCAATATATAACATATAACATATATCATATATATACTATATCACATACTATAATATATATGACTATACATTACATATAATATAAAATTATATATAACATAATATATTAACATACACATTATATATCAATATCTATATATAACATATAATACATATCATATAATATATATTAGATACTAGATCCTTTATATATCCTATATAACATTATATATACTATATGTTCTATAGCAATATTATATATCTATATATAACATAAAATATAGATCAGATATTATATATTGGATACTTCATATATTATAAATATATAACATTTAGTATATATCATATATATCTCATACATAATACGTGTCTCATACATATATTATATACACTGCATGTAACAGAGTATGTAATATATGTATGACCTGCTTTGGGATCTGTGCTCTGAGGAGGAGAAAGTTCCCAGGGGGGAAAAAAAAAAAAAAGAAGCATTTTTTTCATTCAGGTGTAGCCCAAAGTCTGTGTTTTCATTTCAGCTGTATTAGAGAACAGCACTTCAGCTCAAGTGGACCTTTGTCATGCTAAATAATTTGGCTTAGTTGGTTAATTGTAGTTGCTACTTTAAAGTGAAATTCAGAATACCTGGAGTGGTTGTGAGCACGTAAGGACTTGTAATGACACAGCGGCTTTATTAGCAGAGAACTGACGAGGAGAAACCATTTAGGCAGAAGATGCTTTCCTAGATAAAGGAACAATACTCTTTGAGTACAACTTGACACCAGCGTTTCGACAATATTTTAACATAGCACATCCACTCCAGGATTTTGCTGTCAGTGCTCTGAAGGATCATTCCAGGCCAGATCATATTCTTTTATTTTATTCCTTTCTGTTGAGAAATCCCTTCCCCCCCTTTCCATTTCATAAAAAAAAAAAATCCTCCTCTAAAAGAAACAACAAAAATCACTTATTGCACTGTGATTGAAAACACACCTTCCCTGCTCCCTGGCTCTGCCTGGCCCGGGGCCTCACACTGGATTGATTATCTGCAGAGAGAACCCTCGGGCAGCCACCCCGGGGGCTGGGGGGGAGTCCCTCCCGCTCTCCCAGTTCACACCAGTCCCCGCTGCCCTGCAGACTGGGCTCTGTGTCCCTCCCCAAGGGTCACTCACTCAGATATCGAGGTTAAAGGTGTTTGGCTCACACAGATGCTCAGCTCAGACCATCTGGCAGAAAACCAGCCTTGCCCAGAGAGTATTTGGGATAAGAGCCCTCAGAGAAACACCTCTTCAACCTGATTTCTGTCCATTAAACACCTTTTCCCTCGCCATGGAGAGCACCCCGAGTTTACAGCAGCTGGCACACAACCTCAGAGAAGGGAGAGAGGCAGGAGCTCCCAGAACATCTTGCAAGACTCCCACCTTGTTTCTCCAGCCTTTCCAGTGCCTGCTGGCAAACGTGGATAAGGCAGAGGAAACCATCTGCTTCTCCTCGGCTGCCCCCTCCTCTCTGCCATCCAATGTCCCCCCGGGCTGGGGCTGCCCCGGCCCTGGGAGTGCCCAAGGCCAGGTTGGAGCAACCTGGGCTGGTGGAAAGTGTCCCTGCCCATGGCAGGGGGTGGATCTTCCCGACCTGCAAGTTCCCTTCCAACCCAAACCATTCCATGATTCTACACCAGCTGGATTTCTGCCACCGGGAAACTTCGGAGTCTCCACCGGGAGCAGTTGGAGCAACTCCAGATCAGTGCCCAATCATTCCCTCCAGAGGGAAGAGCCTGAGCTGCCCCACTGTTATTGGTGCTGCCAGAACCAGTTTGGAGGATCAGTCCTGCTTTGCAGAGGCCTGACAGGGGTGCCTGTTTCCTTACACAGACCGTGCAGACAGAGAGGGATCCCGAAAAGTCACCTTCCCAGCATTCAGAATGAGAGATCCCGGGGGAGCACAGGCACTCGCTGCCGCTGTGGGCGGAATGAGGAGCCCAGAACACTCATCCCTGAGGCACAGAACACTCATCCCTGAGGCACAGCTGTCCATCTTACAAACCACCACCGGGATTTTTCCATGAAAACTCAGCCATCTCCACAAAAATCCACAAAAATCCACAAAACCAGCGAAATTCCTACGTGTTGAACTCTAGTCTGGTACAGAACATTAAATCAATGAAGGCAGCTCCTCCCCCTGAAAGCTGACGTCCCATAAAATTGGGACAGAAGGATTTGTGAAGAAAAACTGTTGCACACAACAAATAGTGTGAATTATTATACCCTGGGAGGAGCAGTTGTTTGTGTTAGAGATGTCCAGCGGGTCTTTACTCCTATTAAGCAATAATTTAGTCCATGATAAGGGAGTTTGAGGGTAAATAAAGGGAGGCACTCCCAGGGAAATCAGCAGTGCAGAAACCACCCCAAACCCGGAGCAGAGTAAAGGAGGAGGTGGGGACACCATTCCACTTGTAGCAGAAATATGGGCTTTTCTCTTTGAAATATTGGACACAGCAAAGACACCCGTTATCTAGTCTGAATTTAAGCCTCTAAGTAATTTAAAAACAAAATCGTGGCTTTTATGATGAAAATCCAATGGAGCTGAGTCCCGAGCACATCCAAATTGAATGAGGTGCTCCAAGTACATTACCTGAAATATTTCCCTTTTTTTTTGGCCGTTAACAGAGGTTTATGGGCCGTGCCCAGGCATTTCTTTTTGTTAATCTATAAAATGAAAAGGGAAAAAAAATCACATAAATCAATAACTGAACTGCAAGTTTCAGTTATTGACTTCATGGGTACTTTGCATAAAAGTGAACAGGAAATTTTGAACCAAGTTTTCTGCCACGCTTCCAAACAGCAGCAATGGGATCTATCAAATTAATTCCACTTCTACTATGCAAATACAAGAATAAGTGAATTTTAACTACACGGGCATTTCACAGAGGATGTGCACCTTCAGCATCATACAAAGATTGTTTAAATAACCCTCTCTAGAGCCAGAATTCCTCCTCCCCCCCCCCCAAATCCTGGTTGATATCTGAGGTAGGGTTATTACAAGAAACACTGGAAATTCTCCATGACATTAAAGCATCGTGTGGGGTCAAGAGAGGGCCTGAGCTGCCAAGCTAAAAAGAGATAACCCAGCAGACAGGTCTGTTTTGTAGTCAGTCTTTGAGGAGGAAGGTTTGCAACCTAAATTTGCTGGTGAGCTCAAATCCCAAGATTCCAACCTGATGCAACAGGGCAGTAACAACCCTGGCAATGCAATGACAAATGTTTTTCTGTTGCTGATCAGGGAAAAGCACCAGGGATCGTTTTCACCAACACACCCCTCGTGTTGACATAATTAAGGAGAGGGAGCCTGCAACGAATTACTTGGGATTTTCTGGGGGAAACACTAGACCCTGATTTATAAGCCACAAAATATAGCTTATTCCTTATTTGTAGGCTATGGAAAATGGGCACAATTAGGGGCACACTGAGGGGATGCACTGCAGGACTGTCTCTGCTCAAAGTGGGATCATTCTGTGCTTCGTAGGTATTTGTGATGATGGATAACAACCCCATGCAAAATGCCTTCAAATCAATATTTTCCACAGGCAGGCAATGCAAGCAGAGATAGTCCCTTGAAATATCCTCTTTGCCACAGATTATTTTTGTAGGTCTTAATATAGGAAAATAAAAAGAACAGTATCTCCCTTTCCTCGTTTAACCACCACGGCTCACGGAGCTGTTCGTGTTCCTCTGGTGAGGTCACAGGCCACAAGAACGAGGGAATGAGGATTTGAGAGGCGAAATCACAGTCCAGAAATTCGGGATCTCGGCACTCAAAACATCAGTGCTTTGTCTCCAGCCCTGGAAGCAGCCCCAGCACCGATCTCAGCCCCTGCCCTGCCCTGGGGTCCCGCAGGAGGTGACTGTTCCCCGCCCAGAGCTCAGGAGATGAGCACGGGGCACCCGCCAGCTCAGCCAGGGGAACAGCCAGGGCCAGGCATTTCGTGAGCTGCTCTGGCAGCCTGACTCACAACCCAAATGGCACCGACCTCCTGGCATTCCTGGAAGTTATCTGGCAGTTATGTTCCATGCAGTTAGGGAAATGAAAAGAAATCTCCCACCTTCGAAGTTAA